CCTCCCGAAATTCCAACTGCAGGACTCTACCAAAAATTTGCCACCATTTATTTCCTCTACAACATATTTGGTGCTGTCAAAAGCAGGAAGCTAACTAGGTTTCTAGAAATACATGAATTTATGTGGTAAAGATTAGTTTTTTAATAACACAGATATCGATAGCTGAAATGGTAACTTCACAAATGAGAGGGAAGTATTGCTGACACTTTTTGTCAAAACTTGCATTCTTACCATCAGAATTGGATTCCATTGCTTTATCAAACTCATGCTTTGTTTCCTGTGAAATGACAATCTTCAGTTGGAATTAATTTATCAATCCTCTTCCTGAGGTAGGATTTCATACAGAGATTTGGAAAAGAGCATACAAGCTCCAAGTGACCAAGGAGAAGACCAAGAGACACCATCCTGAAGGCCAGAGGCATAGAACCAGAGACATCAAAAAGGGCTCCTATGTCTGGTCATGTACTTCCCCAACACATACCTTTCTGTTTCTGATTTTTCTTTACTCCTATGACCAAATCTTCTGTTTTCTTGTTGCCCTATTGGGATTTCCCACCCTAATCTTCCTTAGGACAGATGTCCCTTTTTTATCAGATCTAGTGGTACTTCAAAACATACTCTTACAGCAGCTTAGGCTAAACAGGAGAAAGCTGAGACTACTGAAAGGCCAGATTAGATGAGCCCTGAAAGAGATCAGGATCAGCACAGTGGTGACAAGCTAATGGGGCTGACAAAGCTGAAACTGGCAGATTGCCAGCATCTTACCTCCCAGAAAAAGAGTTACAGTTTGCTGGGTAGTTCTATATGTTGTTAATAGTCCTAGGGCCAGAGAAATGAGGGGCACAATTAGGCAAGATTGCAGTTCCTCTAGACTGCCACTGAAACGTCATGAATTATGGAATTTTTGTTTGTTTGCTTGTTTGCCTGATTGTTTGCTGTTCTTTCTTCTTAAGACTTTTTCTACATTATTCTTAACACTGCAGTGTGGATGATGTTCACAGTTGCTATCAACCTTTGTATCATCTGAAAATGTCCAGATTAGTTGGAGACAGCAATGAAAACAACCCGGCAGCCAACCCTCATAAAGATGAATCAAACTATGGTGATCTGATAAGCAGACTTGTGAGATCCATTTTTTTCACCCAAAAGGGTGAGAGTTATTATATCTTCCCAAATTGTCAGTGTGATAAAGTAACCAATTGGGAGACACAATTCATGCTTCCCCCAAATGCACTAACTGGGTAAATAAAGAACCATGGCTCACACTAGCAACCACAAATTTAAACTTAGTATTTCAGGTCTATATCTAAAGAACGACAGAATATCATCTCTCCTGATTCATCCTGCAAAAATGCATCATTCTTTTTCTCCCGATCTAATCAGAAACACTTCTGCCATCTTCGTTTTTCTTTATAAGTCAAAAAGGCGAAGAAGAGATTTAGGCCTTCTCTTCTACACCCCTCCTGACTTAGAGTGGGGGAGGAAGTGGGCTGCATAACCGCAAAACCTCAGATTCTATTCTGACCACACCACAGGTACTCTTATTGTCACTGCAATTTCAAATACTGTACACAAGTGCCATCTAGTGGTTAACAATAAATTAACATGCCACTTTAAGAAAGAAGAAAAGACTTGAAGCTTTTCATAAATAACCAAACATGTTTTTATCTTTTTTTATCGAAACAGGATGATTTTTGTGTATTTGCATTTTTCTGAGGAAATTATTTCTTCCATCTGTTTCTCTTTGGTCAGGATAGAAGTATCTTGGCTCATCTGTTAAAGTGTTCTTCAAACCACAAAATATGCTGGGCTTTATGCATAAGGAAACACATGAAAAAAGAAAGTCTTCTTTATCAATAATCACTGCTCTGTGAAATAAAATTGAGCTGGTTCTCTTGCTTCTATACTCTATTTTAGCAAACATTCTAGGGTTGCATGATGGCTGAAATAACAGAGAAATGCAAACATAGGGGATGGAGCAAACCAGTCATCACTTTCAGTGGTTCTTGGTTACATACAGAGGGATAGCAGAATCTCCCATCCCCAAATCAAGGTCTCTTCAGTTAAACCCAATCTCACCTTCTACTTCTATGCCTTAGTATAATGTATCATCTACACATTAGCTTATTCATTGACTCCTGAATATCAGCCTCTCTGCATGTTCTTATCATTGCCACTTATTCCGTCTGTGATATTCTTCCCCTCCCTTCCTTACTTATTCAACTTTACTAAACCTTCAGGTTCTATATTAGTGTAACAAGATGTCAGAATGGAACTACTTTAGTCTTGGTTTTCATCGAGTCTTGTATTCATTAGTTTTTGCTGCATAACAAATCACCCCAACACATAGTACCTTTAAACTACATGCTTTTATTACAACTCACAAGCCTCTAAGGTAGCTGGGTAGTTTCAGTTTCTCGTCTTAGCTAGGCTTACTCATGTATCAGCTGTGGATCTGTTGGGCAGTTCTGCTATTCTTGGTTCAGCTCTCCCCATAGGTATGTTGGTTACGCTGGCTGTAGATTGGTCTAATATAGCCACAGCTGAGACAACTACACTCTTCTCCTTGCGGTTTCTCAGCCTCCAGCGTACTAGACTGGGATTGTTCACATGGTGGGGCAAGGTATCCAGAGAAAGCAAAAATGTACAAGACTTCTTGAGGCCTAAGCTCAGAACTAGCACTCCGCTGCATTCAGATGACTGAAGCAAATCACAAAAACAGTTCTGATAATGATGAAATAAACTCCACCTTCTGGACTGGGCACCGCGGTTCACACCTGTAATTTCAGCACTTTGGGAAGCCGAGATGGGTGGATCACTTGAGCTTAAGAGTTTGAGACCAGTCTGGGCAACTTGGTAAAATCCTATCCCTACCAAAAATACAAACGATTAGCCAAGCATAGTGGTGCATGCCTATGGTCCCAGCTACTCAGGAGGCTGAGGCTAGAGGATTGCTTGAGCCTGGGAGGTAGAGGTTGCAGTGAACCAAAGTACACCACTGCACTCCAGCCTGGGTGACAGTGAAACCCTGTCTCAATAAGTAAACAAACAAACAAATAAATAAACAATTTAAAAAATGCTCCCCCTTCTGATAGGATGAAGTAAAAGTCGCATTGCACAGCATTTGGATAAAAGGATAAGTTTTAAAAGAAAGTAGGGAGGATCATTTCAGCAATCAATCTACCTCAAGACTGAATAAATGCTACATTTCACAGCGAGGTGAGAGTTCCTCCACAGAACCGTAAAGGAGCTGACTGAAACTGGATTTGTAGTTATTAAACCATCACTTTCATCAGGAGCTGGAGATTAGGTGAGGTGCCGTGCTTTGAATATAACTAACATTTCCCCACTAATAAACACACCAAAAACAGTAAGGCATGTCTGCCATTAAACTGAAGTCTAGAAAGAGGTAATGCGGTGAGACCTCTTAAAGAGCTTGATATGTGTCTCCTAAAATCTGGAGGATGCCATGAACTGTTGTCTGACTCACCCTGGATAAACACAGGTGGATAAAGCACTGCAGTTTGTGAAGTTACTGTCCTCCTGCCAATGACAGGTCACAAATTCAAGGCTGCCTGTGGAATCAGCGAGGACCAAAAGCTTTAGAGAGATGGTGTGGGTTTGTCTTGGATCCTCATCAAAAGGGCAATGAAAACCTGAGCACAGAGAAGGACTCTGTGCAAAAGGAAGCAAAGTGTGTACCATGGGATACCTGGAAGTCAAGTGACTGTCTGAAAAAGAAATACGATTACCCATTTTCAGGAGCCTGATGTTCAGAAATACTTAGACAGGGGGAAGGGAAGCAGGTAGAGTTCTGTAGAACCACAGAAGTACCTCCAGGAGAGAAAGAATCAGCCTTTGGTATAGGATGCTCAGATCACAGGATACGACCAGTCAAGTAAACACTTTCTGGCTGCCACTGACTCTCCTTTATCCCCTCCCCAATTCCCAGCTCCAATATTACAACTCACATTAAGGAAGGTGACCAAAAAGCAGTGGCACTCCCTAGGTGGCAGGGAGGGGAAAGACACACAGCTCTCTTGCACTTTGCAAGGCCTAATCTTGGGGTAGGGAGGTGAGGATGCTATAATTTCAAGAAAAGTTTTACATTTTTATTGTTATTCTAGATATACTAATTACTGAGCTGGAACCATGTCTTTTTTAACTTAAATGTAAAGGCAAATATTAGTCCTGCAGCATATGTTTGAAATGGCAGTGACAAAATAAATCAAATTGTTTTCTAATTATACCACATGAGTTTTGCAAGTTCAGTACAGTAATGTCCCTAAGAGCCTCCTTAGTGTAGCTGCTCCAGGTGCCTCTTCAGCCACTATTCTGTCTGGATTGATTTGGCCTTTGCTTATAAGAAAGCATAAGGTTAATCTAGACCTAAAGGATCTAAATTGGAGTTATAGTTTTAGAGTTCCCTATGTGATCACAAGTATGTCTCTTAACTTTTCTTTTTCCTTTCATGAAAAGTAAAATGTGATCATGCCCACATCCACAGTTATTGAAAGCATTAAATTGCATTGTGTAAATCAAAAGGATTTTTAAAAATATCTACAGTATTATAAAATAAAATCAAAGCTTACAATCTTTATTAATTTGTCTTAAATTACAATAGATCCATTACATAGTTATATATTTATATGAAAAGTAACTATGTTTTTTAAAATAAAATAATTTAGGGAGATGAATGGCATTGTTTGGGGTTTGGGTTTTCCCTGTTTTTAGAAAATGTCTCCCTTAATAGAAAACTAGATATACTAGTGACTTCAAGAAGTGTTCACTTAATATCCAAGATAACACACCAAGATCCTTGTCTAATTCCTGTTCTGATTTTTTATCTGCTTGCTTGTAATAACGTTTTTCTCATTTCCTATAAACTTCTAATTTTCATTCAACCAGAAAAAAAAAAAAACAGCTAGATTCTTTTTTTTTTTTTTTTTTTGAGATGGAGTTTCGCTCTTGTGACCCAGGCTGGAGTGCAATGGCGCAATCTCGGCTCACCGCAACCTCCGCCTCCTGGGTTCAGGCAATTCTCCTGCCTCAGCCTCCCGAGTAGCTGGGACTACAGGCACACGCCACCATGCCCAGCTAATTTTTTGTATTTTTAGTAGAGACGGGGTCTCACCATGTTGACCAAGATGGTCTCGAGCTCTTGACCTCATGATCCACCCGCCTCGGCCTCCCAAAGTGCAACAGCTAGATTCTTAAATCTGTTTCTGCATTCAATCTATTGCAATGTGTGATTTGAGTACAGAACATGAAAAAACTCTGGTCTCAAAGACACATGTAGTTAAAAGGGATTAATATTTTAGTAGTAATTTCAGATAATTGTGGATATTCTTCTTTGATGCTATGCTAAAACTCAACAAGTATATAAATTTCTTTAAAGTCATTTGTGGGGTGAAATCTGAAACCATATCAATAATTCTTCTACTTTGTTATGTTAAAAAATCTACTGGTTTATTGCGTACTTTGGATCTTTTATTCATGCACAATTTTTACAACATTGTTGCTCATTTGGAATTGCTCATTTGGAAAATAATGGCTCTGTTACACAGATCATTCAAATGTTGACATGTTTCATTATGTAATACACAAAAAAACCACACTTGTTAACATCATTACTGGCCTCATCAGAAAATTATTTTAAGTACCAGGAAGCTGTCATGTTTATGGGGCAAATACAAGAGTCCACACTGCTAATTTTGGCTTAAAACCTCAAATGTTTTCATGAACAATACTGTTCATTGTCCTCTTGAAGTGACAGACTTACACTGTTAACTTTCAAAATGTCTGCCAAATTCTCAAGTCTGAATAATCATAGTTTGTCTTTCAGTATTTGATTTTAAGCAAAACGGTGTGTCATGAAAATAATTGCTAGTTAAACAATTATAAAAGTGCTTTTCCAGAGGGGAAGGGAGTGTCCATGATGCTGGCCACACTGTCTGTGTCTCATGACCAAGTTGAGTGTGGTAGCTTTTATTCATATATTTCAACAGGAATATTATTTTGGCCTGAATCATCCAGAAGAGCCATAGAAATAATGTCAAATTTAGTGAAACCTAGTGTGATATAGTTATATACTAAAATACATGTATATTTGGTCTTCATCCTGGGTTCCTGGCACAGAGCTCTTAAAATCATTTTTATTTTCCTGAGTGATAGGGGTGACAGGGACATCTTTTGTTATAATGTTTGGTGTTAGTCCCTAGTTCCTGACACAGGAGCATCTAAAACCCTTGGAATCTCTGGAATGATGAGCATCTTTGTGTATGCTAATGAGATCACCGTACCTGGGGGTCTCTAGATACCTCCTGGATGGGCCTGATTGCCAAAAAGACCAAAAGCATGACTAGAGGATTGGCAGTTTTAGTCCCACCCCAACAGTATCAATGAAGAGGAGAGACTGAAGATTGAGTTCATCACAAATGGCCAATGATAAGCTATGGGGCTCTGAGAGCTTCCAGGGTGCTGGGAGAGTGGCATGCCCCTTCCCACATACCTTGCCATATGTATCTCCTCCATTTGGCTGTTCCTGACTTGTAGCCTTTATAATAAACCAGAAAGTATAAGAAAACTGTCTGACTAAGTTTTGTGAGCCATTCTAGCTCTAGGAAATTGTCAAACCCAAGGAGGGGGTCATGGGAACTCCTGATTGATAGCCAATTGATCAGAAGTACAGGAGGTACAAGGCTTGCAAATGGCTTCTAAAGTAGAGGCAGTCTTGTGAGACAGAGCCCTTAACCTGTGGGATCTGACACTAACTCCACTAATGTTGTAATTAAATTTAGCTGTTGGACATCCAGTTGGTGTCCAGAAAGTTGGAAAATTGATTGTTGGTTTAAAGAAAAAGCACATATTTGGTGTCAGAAGTGTTGGGAGTAAAAACAGTTCCCCTAAAATTAGAAAACATTTTAGACATCATCTAGTCCACTCTAAGAGGAAAGTTTCTCTACAGCAGGTTTGACATGAGGTCATTCAGCTTCCAATCAAGCACTTTCAGTGATGTGAATCTCAATAATTCTCTATGCAGCCCATTCCACCATTCTTGGATAGCTTCAATTATGCAGATCTTCATCATATTAAGCCAAAATGTTCCTTCCTTGGTTCTGTGATGCAGAAGAGAATGAATCTACTCTCTCTTCCATATGGCTAACCTTTAAGCATTTAAACTTTAAATTTCTTTGAATTTTAAAGACCACTTTAATCCATACCTTTTCCCACTTCAATTCACACACACACACACACACACACACACACACCCTTCCATCATCATGATACCTCTTCTGTAGGACAGAACATGGTTTCTATACTACTTGTCCTCACATAACATGGTTTCTAAATCTCTGTCACCCTGTCATCCTAAACCCTTTCTGCTTACTTGTGTGCCTCTTAAAAATAGAACCAGAACACTATTAAAAGATCTTGAATTAAATCTTTCTAGAGCAGAATTCATTTTCTTCCTGTACACTTGTATTGATGCAGCCTATAATTATATTCACTTTTTGTTTGTGTGTTGGTTTGTTTTTCAGGAACCACATTAAACTGTGGGCACATGTTGAATTAGTCTCCAAGCAAAACCTCCACATCTTTTTCCCACGTGAACATTGTTAATTTGCCTTTACTGTTCTCTGTTCATGCAAGTAATATTTTAGCCTAAGTGATGGAATTTATATATCATCCTGATACATTTTATATAAGTTTAGATCCATTTAAAATGACCTAGACTGTTTAATTTTTATCAATTTTAATTTTATTTCTGTAACAAAGAATGCATGCTGCCAATCAAAATCTACTCTCTCATTCCTGGGCACATGACCAGATTACCTTTCCCACCTCCTTTGTGGTTAAATGCAACCATGAGACTGATTTTGGCCAATTGAAGGTAACATAAGTAAACAAGATGTATACTACTTTAGGGGGTGTCGTCAATTTGTGCTCCTATCAGAGCATACTGAAAACTGAGTAATTCACAAACAACGGAATCTATTTCTCACAATTCTGGAGGCTGGGGAGTTCAATACCAAGGTGCTTGCAGAGTCAGTGTCTAGTGAGGGCTGCGTCTGCTACCAAGATGGCACCCTGTTGCTGCATCCTTCAGAGGATCCTTGTGTCCTCACATGGCAGAAAACATAGAAGGGAACAAGCCCACTTCCTTGAGCCCTTTCATAAGGGTTCTAATCCCATTTATAAGCACTCTGCCCTCATAACTTGACCACCTTTTAAAAGCCCCACTCCTTAATACCAACACATTTGCAACTAAGTTTTAGCATCTGAATCTGGGGGAGGACACATTCAAACAAAAGCAGAAAGCTTTAAGGCAGCAGCATGTCTACTTCACCCTCTGCCTCCTCTTCTAGTCTCGAACCTGGACATGATGACTCAGTCTTAGCTATTTTGTTGACAAGAAACCCTCGGATATGATAGAGTCATAGACAGAAGTAGCCATGTTCCCTGAATCTCTGTGCAGAGAAGAGCTACCTTCAGCCCTGGAAAACCTACTCTGGAATCACATAACTAGAAATAAACTGTTCCTTAAGCCAATAAATTTGGGGTCTATTTTTTACAACAGCTTAGCTTACATTAACTCATGTAATATGCAACATATTTATGGTAGGTATAAATATTTAGATATCTGTCTTCATCTATAGGTGGATGAGTCTTTATCCACACTGATTTTTTTCTGTGGTTAGAATAGTGATGAGAAATATAATATCTACCCATAGACCTTTCATATTTCTATGTTTGATTTCATCTTAATACACCTATTTTACTTCCTAGAAGGTACCCCAAGTTTCTGGTTCTAGTGATATTATGCTTTTATTCACAAGTAACCCCTTCTTTGAAGGCTTCTTTGCCTTCCCCAGGCAAAGTTAAAGTAACCTCTCCTTACCGTGCTCACACTGAAACCATGGTGAAGTGTCATGACTTGTAATTCTATTAGCAATGTTTGCCTGCTATCTTTTCATCAGAGTATGTGCTCCTGAGGATAGGGACCAGATCCTATTTATCTGTGCATTCTCAGTGATGTATCAGCATCTGACATGTAGTGAATACTCAATAAATGCTTGAAAATGAATGAATACACAGATACCTCTAGAAATGGACCTATAAGAAAAAGAAATCATCAAGAGATAGTGGTTGTAACATCATTATGCTTCCATTAGTGATAAATAAAGGCTGAGTCTCTAACTATAAATTGACAGGAACAGAGAAATTGATTATCTGCAGGATCTCTCTGGCATTCTGAATTCTGTGAGTTCTTTTATAATACTATTTTTGCTTTCATTGCCCAGAACTAGTCATGATGTCATAATCATCAACAACTAGTCTGTGTTTCACAAGGCAATATAGAAACCTCTGAAAACCAGAGCGTGATTTTTAAACCTTGCTCATTTTTTTAAGCTCAACTAAGATGGAACCTACTGTCTTTTTATATTTCTTACTTTGGGTTCAATTTATTTAAGACTATTCATGACAGCCAGATGGCCCACGCTAGTTTCAGATGATTTATCATAGTGCTCAGCTGTTGCATTAAATCCATTCCTTAAAGGAGAAAAAACATTTTTATTATAACAGGAAGAAAGTAGGGTCCAGACCTTCAGGATAGTCTAGACGTCAGCTCATGGCTCCCTGACCTTGAAAATCTTTATGTAGAACTTATCTAAATAATTCACGGTGTATTTAATGTCCTTTGGAAATCCAAAGCCTTCACCAGTTTTTCTCCAAATTCTAGGGAATATGACGGTGAGTGGGATATACAATCCTGATGACCTCTTGCTTAGAGGTCTTACTTCTCACCTTCTCAGGTACACACACTCTGTTCTATACCACATTAACTGGTGTATAAAGCTAAGCCCCTTTCTCAGTTCACCCTAAAAACCTATTAGATATTATTAATATTTGAGGGGGGAAGAGAAAGGAATCTTACATCACAAAATTGCAAACGAGTTCAAAATGAATATTAGCCTTTCAAGTAGTCTTGCTCTTAAATCTGTTTTACCCCATTCCACAGGGACTCTTTTCCACTGACCACTTCACCTGTGATGCTTTTGCTCTGCATCTTCTCACTGACTCCTGTCTCCTTTCTTCTCCTATCTTTCCTCTACTGTCCTAATTTCTGTTTCTTTCTAACTTAGAGTAATGCAACTCTATTATTGTGGCTTATGTTTCTATAGATTCAGTAAGATCTCACCTTTTTCTCTGAGTCTTACTGAGGTACTTTCCTAAATAACTACATCATTTTTAAGTGCAATTCTAGTGCCAGCTGTAAAACAAAAAACTTTAAGCCCCAATGTAAATACAGTTTAGGAGTGTGGGTAGGTTAGAAAGACTGCTGATACTTATTAATAGATCTCAGTTATTTTGCCCAAGGGTCTACAGTACATTAACTGACTCCCAATCACCCTGACTCCTAGTCAAGTCCCCTCTCCACCACAGATATTTTAACAGACTCTGCAGTATGGAGTGAGCACATTTCACCCTATTCCCCACACGGAATAAACACCCTTCTACCTACCTTCTTTTATTCCATGGTTGGGTAAGAGTCCACCTTTCTTATTCCCTGATCCTGTTTTCTTTCTTCATATCCCACCATTACCTCTGTGCATCCAAGACTGAGACTCTTATAAAATGCATCGAAGATTAGGACTGCAATACCAGCTTTCAGCATCTCACTACAACAATATTTTTATAATAATTCCCTGTACCAAATCACCATACTTTGTTCATGTTTTTAAAAATCTCAGATCTGTTTTACATCTTGAGCTAAGCCTTTAAAAAGCATTTTAACTATATCTGCCTTCTGTTTAAAATCCCTACAATGGATCTTGTTATTTTAATTCACATCTACTCAGTTACTAGAGAGAAACTAGGTATTTTATTACCTTTATCAGTCATTTGAATTCACTCAGAACTAGATAACCTTGATAAAGTTTTAGAAGTTGGGATGGAGAGAGCGGGAGTCAAGAAAAACTGGAGGTGAGTATATTGTTAAATTAACCATAGCAGAGATTAAGTGTTCAATATTCAATATTCGAATAGGGTTGAGCAATAGATAATTAGCATTTATGGATGTCCTGAGATACAATTACCAACATTTAGTCACACAACCAACACATAATGTGAACTACACTTAAATGCTCCTCTAAACTACAATTGTGCACACTTTATCTCAGAGTTGGGTACTTCAAGAGGGGTAATAATTGTTTCAACATGACATCAAAATATCTCCTTAAAAAGTTAGTACACACACACACACACACACACACACACACGCATATACACACATACATTCCAGATGTGCCGTCTTCATGTTCCAGGCACCTCGCTGTTTCCAAATAGCTGGGTGCATGGCCTCCCGCAGAAGGAACATCTGGGTGATTGACTGCATTCTTCTCTATTCATCCAAAAGTTTTGGCAGCTAGTTGCAGACAGATTGAAAATCTTCTCCTGAAACAAACATGAATAGTCTTTGTCAGCTGAATATTGACAGGCTCTGTGGTGAAGTTTTTTCCCAAATCTGGGATACCATCAAAATGTTATTTTCCAGCTGCTGAGTGCTGGTCTTTTATATCATAACTCAAGATCAATTATATTTAGAATGCAACATAAGAAATACACTTAGTAAGATTTCAGTTCTGACAGAGGTGTTCATGATAAAAGTACAGAATGGTACATAAGGCAATGTGCTTCTGAATTATCAGACTGTAATTAACATCTGAAATTATCCCTCACAACTAATTTAGGCTTTATGTACACAGAAAGAATGAAGCTGATTATCTCTTGGCAGTTAAATTTACCTTGGTTCGGACCTATGGGTGTCCATTGATTCTAATGAACAGTAGAATATCAAATTAAGGAACTTTACAAGTCCCAGTAGAATAAACGTGGTTTAATTTGTTTACAGATTATCTGGCATTAGCAATCACAAATGAATTATTTAAAATGTGCCCATATAAAAGGTATGTACACATATTTTTCCTATATGTGCATGCATTATTCAGCTGTATGGCTTGCTGGATAAGAAAATCTGTTTGGACTATTGGGTTGTATATGGATTTTGGTTGTACCACCTACTATCTATATGAACTTGGTAGATTATTTAATTTGTCTGTGACATTGCAAACTAAATAATAATACAGCCTAGATCATAGAGTCATTGTGTTAGGGTTAAATGAAATGATAAATGAGATGACATAGGTGAGGTATGTAGGAGTGACTTGAACACAATAAGCTCTCAATAAATGTAACAAAACTGTAAGTGCAAATGAGAGTGTGTGAGTATATGCCAGTGTGCTTAAAGCATTTGGCATTGATTTTCTGAATTGTATTCTTAAAGAATTTTCATGTGATTCACAGTTTATAAGAATATGGGGGAAAAATAACAAACCAAAACAACAAATAGAAATTTTCTCCCAAAATAAGACATAACAGTTAGGTTTTACTACTCTAAAATCTTCAGCAGATTTTGATCAAGTTATTGTACAATTACTTACAAAGTCTTTGACTTTGGGTCATGTACTGTGTCCTTATCTACTAATGAGAATGAGAATTCCTGTGCTACCTGCCTCTTGGAATTGTGCTGATCACATGGGAAGCTCTAATGGATATCTGCTGCTCCTATCTGCCTAGCTCCTGCCTTCCTTGGAGGAACCGCCCTCTTTATCCAGCTGCATGTCTCCTGTGGATTTGTTGGTCACTGGGATATTGGTAGATGCCTGATTAATGGTGGTACTCCATTCCCAAGTTCTCAATGATTGATCCAATAGTAGGCATCCAAGAAGAATCAGGAATAATATATCCATGTGTTTAGATACAAACAGAATCTGGGTAAGAAAGAGCCTCCTCTTCTTGGATCACCTTTTGTATGGAAAATGTGGGTTGGAGCTTTTGCTACCATCTCCTCCAACCACATAAGAAAAGCTGTCGATGACAGCAGAGAAGTGGATAAAATTTGAGATAAAAAGAAGTAAATATGAAAATGAAGAAGACAGAGGAAGCCCATGAACATAACATAGAAAAACCACTTTTCCAACCTTGTTATAGGTCTATAAACATTATTTAAATTATTTCTTGCTACCCTGTATCACGGAGCCTCCAAGTTTATGCCTTTACTTGCATTGCTATATTGCCACTCCTCCACCCACCAATTTCAACTTCTAAATCTCTTTTCCTGCTGCATTTTCAAATATTGGATCCTTTAATTTCCAGCTTTCTTTTACCTCCCCATCCCTTACTGATTTCCCCCTCATCTGAAATGTTACCAAATAGTACCATGCATCTCATATTTTAGTATTGAATAATATGCCATAATAATACTTTGGGGTGTTTCAATATCAGTCTGGAATTTAGATTCATACCTTCTTCTATATTCCAACAGTAAATAAGACTTTTCTTACTCTATACTGGAATCAAGGCTGTTTGCTTGCCAGCTGCTTCCTAGCTTCTAAATATGCAGTGAATTTTCAGTGCAACATGAACGGATCTTTAAAAGAGAATGCTAAGTGCAAAAGTAATAATAATAATAGTAAACCAGAATATGATACTCACACCATTTATAGACATTAAAAATACAGACAAGTCAAACACATGGAATAAAAACATATACAAACAAAAGGTATATATTTAATAAAGTGGCTGTGAAAGGAAAACAAGAGTATGGGAGTAGGATACAGAGATAGAAGGGGTCTTGCTTGAAGTAATGATGCCAATATTCTATAAACAGGACACTTTTTCAAAAGTCAACGCTGCATCTGAGTTTCTAAATAAATCTGTAAATATATGCTCATATACTGGGTCACAAGTGTAACAAGATTCCTCAATAGTTTTGAAAATTGAAATCAGAACTGTCCTAAAGCATAGACTTTGTTACATATAAGCTGTTTATACGATGAGGCAAAAGGATTACACATTGAATGGGTTTCAAACTTTAAGACAGTATAAGAAAATATGAATAAAAAATTCTAAAACATATTTTTAAAAGGTTGGAAAGCAATTATTTCCATTGTTGAAAAAAAATGTATTCTATTTAGCAGATAACTTGCTGCACAGTTAATTTAAAATTAAGCATTTAAGGTTCATGTAAAAGCATGTTTCAATTAAAACTTTCTTTTATTTACAAAAATTTAACTCACACCAATATTGCATAAAGCAGCCGATTTTTTGCATATGTCATCGAATATCTGCTTTTTCCAACCTTAATTTGCATGTTATGTGTCTTAATAATAAAATATGCAGTATAAAATACATAGTAGAGAGAAGTCTGAGAATTTATTTAAGAGTAAATGAATCCATTTAAATGCACATTTTCCAAGTATTTGTGGAAAGGGTTTTTTGTTTTGTTTTGTTTTAATACTGACAACAACAATGTAAGACCCTCAGGAGCCAAAATTCATAGTGTTCTTTTTTGTAATTCCCAGACTTTCAGGGTCTGATGATGGCAGTGATCAAGCTAATGATGTTAATGACAGTTATAATGTTGATGGCAGAGATATTCAAGACTGGCAAAATAAAAAATCTTATTGTTGAAATGAGCCCTTTTAAATTGTCATTTCATCCTTTTTTTCCTCTTTCTCCATTGGCAGTAATAGGTAGAGAATCACAAATAATTTCAAACTACATTATGTTCCTTGACATAGGAGACTATATCTTAAATCACCAGTTCTCAACCAAGGTGTCATGACATACTCATTTGTTCATAACAGCTGTGAAAGACGTTAAGTTCAGTCTTAATGTGTGATGCAATTAGATATTAACAGAGAAAGTACTTTAAAACATGATTTTTAATAAACCAGTATTATTTGAGGTTCTACCATGAATTACATTATTTTCACCAATTTGCTTTCAAATTATGCTCTCTCGCAAGGCAAAAAATTAAGATGTAACTAGTATGTTAAAAACTGCATATAAAACCCTTCTATTTTGTTCATGCCACAGTCCCATGGTGAAAACCTTCATGTATCCGCATTTCCAATGTCTCATCATCTCATAAACAAGGAAAGATCCCAGCATTCAAGTCTGGGATCTAATCAAAATCTAATAATATGCTTCTCAACGGCAGAATTGGCATAAAAATCTTTTGTCAAATTCTGGATCCTGAATTTTGGTTTAAAAAATATAGTCAACCTAGAAATCTGCTAAAAAAGTGTTTTTAATTGTCATATAAAAGAGAAACAGAACCAGAGAAGATCACCCAGATATTTACTCAGGTATAACTCAGTTATAAACCAGTAATATGAAAACCCAGATAAATAAAAATTATGTTTATCAGAGCAATTCACTTAACTGATAATTTTAACATTTTCCCTCTCCGAACTCTTTTTACCGTGTCTGTTAACAAAAAGAAAAAGGAAAAAAGGGAGAAACCTCAAAGAGCATCCCAGCTTCTAAGAATTTATAAGAGCAAAAAGGGAGACATTTGGTTATATTCGTACCTGCAATAGATTGCCAGTCATTTGCAGTGCACTGAATAAAGAATTGCCGTTTTCAATTCACACTGGGGAGAGAAAATGGGGAAATTCTATAGGTAAAAAGAAAATGTCACATTCATACAAAATACTAAAAATACAAAGTTGAGTGAGGAAAAAGAAAAGTGATTGGGAAGAAGAGAAAAGGGAAAAGAAGACTGCGGGGGCTTGGGCAAGACTGATAGAGCAGTGAGACTGAATTGAGTTTTTAATTTTGAGAGGAGTAGGAATTAAATTCGCCACCAGAAAAATAAATCAAGGGAACTTTTATAGGGTGACTAATACATTAATAACCTACCGAAAGAGCTGAGCTCTCAGGTGAAGCCGGTTCAAGGACAAAAGGGCAAACTCCCACTCTCCGAACACTGTCAAGGGATCTTTAATGAATTCACGGAGCAGAGACACAGAATCCGGAATTCTTAGAGATGCTCATCCACATCCAGCAAGTCTCCTGTGTACATCTCTGAAAGGCCTTATTATTGACTAATGAGCTTGTCTAAAACACCTATTTGCTTTATTATTTGCAAGAAAACACACAATTATGCCTAAGCTAATTTGAGATTCCAACTTTTCATTTTTAATGCTGCTTAGATAACGCATAAAACCTTTCACAGTGTTCGTGACAAAAAGGTTACTCTTTTTTGTGCCAGTGAGTTTTTCAAAGCGAGCTCCACTGGATGTCATTTTCTCTAGAAACTTTTTTCTCTTCTTCCATTAGTGGAACAGTCTAATTACTGCATAATCAAAAAGAGAAGCACACACGGCTGCCTGGCTTCACCACATCCACACAATGGTGAAGAATGCGTCTTAACAGTCCAGTGAACTGTCAGCAGCAAAAGTAATTGGAAATTGGGGGCTATTTCTTCGTGTACTAGTAGTGGGAGTTGTTCTTGAGCTTTGTTAATAGGCAAATCACTCTCCGGAGGTTGGGAGCCTACAGTTAGTTTGTAAAGACCCTTTATAATGTTAAAAAAAAAAAAAATTAAGACATTGCAATACTCCCTCCCCAAATTTTTTTTTCAATTACACATTAAATGACTTGGCATTTGAGGTAATGTTATCTAGTGTTAATTCACCTGTTAGGAAATTGCTTTTTTCTAGAACCTGGGGTTAATAGAGTGCAAAAGTCCATTCTTATCAAGGGGTGGGAGAAAGACGATTAATTTACACTATAAATTAAAACATAGAAAATGGAAAGAAAACAGATTCTGAGTTTGGGCCTAACTCCTGAAAAGATATTATGTTTTGTTGTTTTTTCTATTTTAATTTGTTATTTTTATCCACTTTTGCAGGCCTCTAATCATTCCAGGCAGAACACACAGCATGGATGAAACTATACATGAAAGAATATGCTTCAGGAAGCAAAATTAATTGACATTGCAGGAAACATATTCACAGAGTATAGAGTTACAGCTGTGTGGCTTCTATTCACATCACAGTAGAATCATTTGTCTGGTTAATATTTGCAAAAGCACATTTGAAAAGAAAAACTATGAAGTGCTAAGTAGGCTTGTTGACAAGCATTAATCCTCTTTGTCATATTTCACATTTAATAAAAATAGTGATGCTAGTAATGATAAAATCCATTTGTACTGTATTCAGAATCCATTGCAAAGCAATGTAGGTCAGCTTCCTAACAAGTAAGACTGAAAGTAATTGTTTATGGACCACTACACAGTTCTTTGTGAAGATCAGTTATTATAAACACAATCACTGGTGAGTTAATAGCATAAATAAATAAATAAATAAATAAATAAATGAAGTTATTCATTTTTATTTCAGGAGCCAGGCCTTTGTTCTCTACTTTACCTACCCACAGCATCTAAAGGTAGTAGCAGGCCTTGTCACATGTAAAATTTTAAATAAACTTACCTTTCTCTTCCCCAATTTCCAAGTCTCAGCATCCTGAGGATGCTGGGCTAACTACTTTCCCAGGAGCCTATACTCAGATGGCTCAAGTTAGACCTAACCATTTTCCTTCTCTTTCCCTGCTGGTACTTATTTTATCCTCTTCCTTTCTTCCAAGACTCTAACATAGGTAATCAAACACAAGAATTTGGCCTAACATCTGCTTGCTATATAAATCAATAAAGAATGTGTGTGACTGATGAAGTGTCCAATGCTTATAAGTTCTGTAGAGTGGGTATATTGCCCAATTTCATCAGCCTCAGCTTTCTCATTCGTAGAAATGAGCTAATAACCCTACAAAGGGTCTGAGGAAGATGCATGTGAAGTTCCTTTCCTATCTCGATTAGTATGAGATAGTGAATTATTATTCCCAGAGCCACGCATGTTGTACATGTTATACAATTGGGACTAAATCTATGTTTGTTGAATAGGATGAATTAACAAAGACAGGTTAGGCAGATTGCCATCAGTACCTGAAATAACAGAACAAGTCACTAATCAAGTAGCAATTATTTTGTGCATAAAATATTATGCAAGCATCAGTATAGTTTACAGAAGAACATAGCATTTTATACTGGCTTAGTTTCCTCCTATGCTAAAGCATAGATTGTACAAAGAAGAAATATTACATGCTTTTAATAAAGTGTTAGCAGTCATCACAAATATTAACACTCAAGGAAGCAAGTTATTGCCCCCATCGCTGTTGCTTGGAATGCTCTGAAATAGAGTTATTTAAAAACGACTCACTCTTTACTTGATAATTTTAAATGGTGGCTCAAATGATGCATCGTTGCTAACCATTCTAATTAATCTATTTGTATACAGACAATGACCAATTTAAAAAAACTCAGTTGCAATTAAGAAATGTCAACATATCACAAAGTAATTATTAGAGGACAGGAAGAAAATTTGAAATATCCCTGACAAATTAGAAAAGTAGCTTTAAAAAGTACAAAATTGATGGAAACAATACAATATATTTAGAGAGCATAACTAAGGAGAAAAACTGGACAAAGGAAAAATAGAGAGGCAGGGAGAAAAGCACTTTTAGAAAAATTAATTTAAACATGAATAAAACTCTTCTACTTTTTAGACGTATAACTTTTTATACATCACTTAGTCCCTCTCAAACTCAGTTTTCTTATCTTTAAAATGGAAATTATAATGTCTCTGCATGTTCCTTATGAGAATCAGTAATAAGTATTTCCATCACAGAAGAGCCATTCAGAAAATAAGCAGTAGAGGAAGTATCGGAAATGGCAGCAGGAGAACAGAAGTGGCAGGAGGAATAGACTAGTCTTTGGGAAATCATATTTAACTACAGGCTAAATAAAAAGCAGTAATTTCATGCTGTAGAAGAAAAGAAACCCACACTATTCTGCAATACATTTTTTAAGCATGTAATGGAAGGGGAAAAATTGCCAATAAACATGCAGAAAAACAATTCAATTTTACTAGTGATCAGGGGAATGTGAATTAAGTAATAAGATGCCGTTACATATCTATCAGATTGGCAGAAAATTTAAAGTGTGACAATGTCAAATACACGTGAGGATGCGAAAAGCAGGAGCTATGATAACCACTTTGGAGAGCATTTTGCAACATCTAATTAAAAAAAAAAGCAGATCCTCTGCTGCCCTGTAGTGGCATTTCTCCAGTGAGATGCAGTTACATCTGAACATAAGGACACACGTACAAGCATTTCTTATAATAGAAAAATAAAATGAAAATAAAGAGTAAAAAATCTAAATGCCTTTCAACAGAAGAATGGATATATTAAAGTTATATTCATTAAATGCAATATGATAGAACATTTAATAAATGAATCAAATCTATATGTATCAACATAAATATTTAAAACAATGTTGAAATGAGAAAACATGTTGCTGAATGATTTTTTAAAATTATCCTACTTTGTGTTGGTTTTGGAAAAGTACAAAAACATGAAATTATACACATTAGATTCAGAATGGTAGTTTTTCCTGGGATTGGAATGAGAAGAAGAGAATCAGAGAGCAGTACACAGTCTATAATATTTGATGTCTTTCAAAATATTTGAAGCAAATAGGGCAAATGGATAAGATTTCTTAAAGTTGGTACTATGTATGCAGAAAGGCCCATATAATCACATCATGTAGACAAATCTCTGGGGCTTAGAGTCACCATCCGTAAAGTGAAGTGACTGGACCGGCTAATCACCTAGCTCCCTTCCAGCTGAGAGATTCCATAATTCTGTGATAAGAAGGACTTATAATGATGAGGCAGGCTAGCAAAGTTGTTCTCTCTGTCATAAAAAGAAGAAATCAATTTAAATTTAAGTAGGAATACTACAAAGCTCCCATAATCAAGACAGTGTGGTACTGGCATAAGGCTACACATATAGATCAATGTAGTAGAATTGAGAGTTCAGAAATAAACCTTTACATTTATGATCAATTGATTTTCAACGAGGTTGCCAAGACTGTTCAGTGGGGAAAGAATAATTTTCAACAAATGATACTGGGACAACTGGATATCCATATGCAAAAGGATGAAGTTGGACTGGTACCTCAGTTACACCCGAAAATTAACTCAAAATAGATCGTAAATGTCAGTGCTAAAACTACAAAACTCTCAGAAAAAAAGAAAGTAAATTTTTGTGATCTTAGATTAAGCAATGTTTTCTTAGATATGAGACAAAATAGAAGCAGAAGAGACAAAATAAAAATGGATCATTAAAATTAAAACCTTGCGTTTTAATGCATACCATCAAGAAAGTGAAAATATAACCTCTGAAATGGGAGAAAATATTTGAAAATCATATGTCTAATGACTTGTATCAAGAATATATAAATAATAATTCTTACAATTCAACAATAAAAAGACAAATACTCAATTTTAAAAATGGAGTAAGAATTTGGACATGCCTCCATATACAAATATACAAATGATATACAAATGAGCATTAAAAGATGCTCAACATCATTAGTCATTAGGGAAATGCAAATTAAAACCACAATGAGATACCATTAGCCTGTCTATAATAAGAAAAAAAAAAAACAGACAATAACAAGCATTGTCAAGGATGCGGAGAAATTTAAAACCTCATACATTGCTAATGGTATTATAAATTGGTACAGCCACTATTAAAAACAGTTTGGCAGCTCCTCAGAAAGTTAACCATAGCATTACCATATGACCCAGCAATCCCACTTCCGAGTATATACTTAAAGAATTGAAAACATATCTCCATGAAAACACTTGTACATAAATGTTCATAGCAGTATTACTCATAATAGCCAGGTAGTAGGAACAACCCATATGTTTACTAACTTTTGAATGGGTGCACAAATGCATTGCATCCATATAGTGTATTACCTGGTCACAAAGAGAAATAAAGTACTGATATATGTTACAACATGCATAAAACTTGAAAACATGATGTTGAATGAAAGAAGCCTGGATGGGCATGGTGATTCATGCATATAATCTCAGCACTTTGGAAGGTTGAGGCAGGCCAGTCACTTGAAGTCAGGAGTTCAAGATCAGCCTGACCAACGTGGTGAAACCCTGCCTCTACTAAAAACACAAAAATAAGCCAGGCATGATGGTTCACACCTGTAGCCCCAGCTACTCAGAAGGCCGAGGCAGGAGAATCTCTTGAACCCGGGAGG